TACAGCTGAGTAAGCTTTGATTTCACCATCTCAACCAACAAGCAGCCTTTTAAAGCAGGGCTCTGTCAAACATAATGCCCAAGTTAACTCTAACATTCATAACGCAGTCTCACTTCTTCCCGATTTAAAACACAAGCAGAGTGGTGGTCTCCTACATCCCTGAGTGTATAGGATCGGCTGATAAGCAATATCAGGGCAAGTACTGAACATCTGTACCACTGGAGCAGTTTCTAAATTTGCTTTTGGAATAGGTACAAGAAATAATTCAGAAGATGTAACTTGCACTTTCCTCAGGTCTGCTCCAAAATGTATTTGTGTACAAGGCAGATGGGTGATGGTGAAATGTGAACGGTAAACTTTTCTGTGTTATTCTTTGGGCAAGTCTGTAAACAACCAACCAGTTCAAATACTGGAAGTTGTTGTAGAGAACATGTTCCATCTTCTTCATGCTGGCAGACCACAAGGGAAAGAACATGCTTTAAAATTCTGGGTGTCAGAGGTGACAAGAACACACTCAGTAAAAACCTCAGTCAATCAACGACTAAGTTCCCTCCAGCACCGTCCCCTCTCAACTTTCTGCTTGTCTCTCACAATGTCTTGGCCATGAACCCAGATGTGAAGCCAGAATAGTGAGTCTTAGGCAGAACCAAGCATTGTTTTAAATCCACACTTGCCTATCTTCTTTTCTCCATCCAGACAGTTTTAAGGCCTGCCTCACACATTAACATACAGAAGGATATAAAGTAATTTAGAGGACAGTTCCCTCTCCCCACTGCTGCCAGCATGGAAGAGGGACATTCGCAAGGCTTTTCAGTATACAAAAACAGACTTGACAAAACAGAAATCCTTGCCTATTTTGTGCAACCAACGAAGTGTTGATCTAAGAGAGATGTACTATCACATGCTAACTTGCTTGCTGACTTGCAGTTCTCTGGACTGAGAGCCCTCCATCCTCACCTTGTTTGGTTTTAGAGAGCCAGCTGTGCTTTGTGTGAAGGTGGTGGATTTTATTTATTTATTGTTAGCCCTTTCAGTGAAAAAACCACAACATGAGACTGCATACAATATTTTTGGGCAACAACCTATTTTGGATTTTTCCTATCTGCCTATGGTATATTGCACATACAAATGCACTGAAAGGTTAAATGCATTCCATTGGCAGTGACTGATTTCATAGCCATTTTCAACAAGCCAGGGCTAGTGGAATTATGTTACCCAATGCAAGACTGCACAGACGTGCGGCTGCAGAAAGTTGCATTTTTCCCTCTACTGCAAATGTGTCACAATTTCTCCTTCTATGCCCAATAACCCATAATGCAGAAACTAGTCCTTAAGTGCCACTAGATTCTAAAGACCCTACGTACAACTGTCTGAACTTGTCTTTCTTACAAAATCCTGCCATGTGAGCTTCTATAGCCAAACTGTGCAAATCTCACAAAATTATACAATTTCATACTTGGAATGCAATTCTGACAGTCCCAACATCAAATCACAAGAATTATGGTCAATGGAAAATAAAACAAAGGGGGAAGATTCCAGGATTTTGACAAGTATATAACTTTTTGTCCTATCACAGTTTAAAGCTATTATCAAATTCAATTAAAAAAGACAAAATAGAAATATTCCAGTAGACATTTTCTAAGAACAATCTCTGACCCACAGCTGAATTCCAATGCACTATTCCATAAACATAACATCTGTTAAATGTTTCAGTAATGAATCTCTCTAAAAATCAGGCTTGCCAAAGAAAATCCTATACAAAGCAAGTCTGCTTTACTTATGTTTAGACATGTTTGATGGCTAACTTGCTCTTTATGAAGTCATGTTATTTTGTTAAAATACTGTCTTATCTTGGTGTGCAAATTGGAAGAAATGTTATTTGACCCAAGTACTTGATTTGCTTTGGTTTCCCCTTGCACTGGGAATCCATTTTAGCAAATGAGTTAGAGTACCAACCTTTAACATTAGTTTCAGACAGTGGAAAAAATTCCATATGTGGCACTCTGGAGTAATTTCCATTTCTATAGAACTTAAAAGATAAAACCTTCCAATAGCTTTACGTAAAGTTTAGACTTTATTCACTATATAGTTATCCTTTTACCTTCCCCTCAAATACACCTTTCACAAGGCTTATGACTTAAGAACAGAACTTTGTTCCATTAGCTTAGCTTTTAGCAATTTCCTCATAAAATCTTTTAGAATTTCAACTCACAAGTGTCTCTCAGATAAAACAGTGGCACAGAAATCACAGCTTTTTGGATTTATCTGATTTGAAAATTTTGTCTGTTTGCTTTCTCTTTACCAAGCTTCTTTGCAAAGTACTTAAATTTGGACAGACTATGGTAAGTGAATCTGCAGGAGAAATATTTTTCCCATGTGCAAAACAATTAAATTTCAACCAGGACATCCAAAAAGAAATAATATACACCAATTAAGCTGCCCCGGATTCCTTCATTTTTCTAGATGTGAACCACTACTTTCACTGAGAGCTTCCTGCTAAGGCAGAACTTCCGTTACACGTGCATATGGAGTTTTATTTTCTGCTAGAAGTTTGTTTGTTTAACAGGTGTTTAAAACGTGCAATTCTGAATTCCAGTGCCAGTCAGATAGTCAATAGCTGCTGGACTCTACAAGAGGCTCAAACTTGCTTTAAGACAAAATAGCCAGGTACTCCTACCAGTTGCAAGTCCTCAGCAAACCAAGCTCAGATACTCAACTACAGATTGATACTCCTATAAAAAGACCACAGGTCATTGACCCTATCACAATATGTGTTACAAGTCTAGCAGAATATCTGGTGTAATCAAAGCCAAATGCTGAACTTGGCTGCATTTCATTTTATGGGGATGGAAGAAGAGGGTGGGGATTATTGTAACAAAGGGGAGAAAATGGCTGGGAACCACCACCAAAAGCCCCCTCCCCCCACCAACAAAGGAGGGGAAACAACCCCATCTCTCTAAGTTGTCTAGTGTTCCAATGCTTCAGACAGCTTAGCAGGAAGTTCACAGCAAGCTTCTTCTAGCTTTTGATCTGGTGGTCCATGAGCTAGTGTCTGTTTCCTTTGGTTGCCTCTTCACTCCACAGCAAATCCACATGTCTCTTCCACGGCTGTCAGTAGCTTCTCATAAAGCTTCTCATATGACTCATAAGGCGGAATGTCAATCCGGTTAAAGCTAAACAAGATGAAAATAACAGTATGAACATCGCTGTCTATGACCCAAAACATTTCACTTGCAAAAACCTAGCTCACCCATGTTTAAAGACGTACTCTATAAAATGAACCGTGGCAGAAGTGAAAATTATTAGCTGTTTCAGTGATCAAATTAAACAAGATTAGGGCTAATTTAGCACCTTTTCCTATAGTTCATGAACCTGCACGGGGGAGCTGTGAACTGGGGGAAAGGAATTCTGTTAGCATTTGAGCTTGTTTAACTTCACTATTCCGTGTTACCCTTTACCTAGGTGTTTTTTTTTAAAATATTGCCTCTAATATGGCTACACTTTTTAAAATAAAAATTTAGCATTCACACGTAAAATATTTGATTTTTTTTTTGCTTAATAATAATAATAATAATAATGTATAATTCTAATGGTGGAATAAAGTAAAAAGCTTTCAATAAAAATACACACATTCCCATGCAATATTTGAACTGAAAACATTTGCAACATGTAAAAAAGACACCAGGCTACAGTGCCTCTGGTTAGCGTCCAAAGCATTTTGAAGCATTGTTTTAGTCACGGTAACACTAACTTTTTTCTTGCCTATTAATACCTAATAAGGGAAGAAGTTACTGAATCCAAAGCATTTCCTGTATCGGACAATGCTACTGCTTTCTGAGGGGCTGATGGTCCAATGGAATGTCAGATAGTAGTGTGCCTAATATACAGGGAAGCACTGGGTGTATACTTTGCCCCAAGTATGAGGCATATTAGGGAAGCAGTTAAGTGGTTAATTTACTGAAAGTGTTGCTTCAAAATAAGAGTTTTCCTACATTTTGGTTCCAACTGCCAAAATATTTAGGGTACCTATTAAAATGGCTTCCTGTACATGAGCGTGTGAGTAGTTCTATGCAAAAGCTAATCTCAGATTCTCCTGAAGTTCAGTTCTGTATATAACGTATTAGTAGTGCCTTTTTCCCCCAATTTTATAGCTAAATGTACATGCAAGAACACCATTACTGTACTGCTGCACAAGGAATACATGGAATTATTGAATCATTGTCTTTGAAGATTATTTCTTGTAATGTGTATCCTTTTATCTGTGAAGACTTGACTGGACAAATGGAGATAAATGAATATCCTGTGCACCAACGCAAGAGGCAGCAGATTTTAATAACATCTTCATCTTACCAAGTGTGGGCTTTTGGAAGGTTGTCTGTATTTGCATCTATCAAATGGATGGTAAACAGCCTGGGTCCTGCAGCGCCTGTAGAACCTTACAGACAGACATTCTAGTTAATGCACTTCAGCAACAGTTATAATACATAATGAATTTGCCAAATACGGCGGGAGGCGGGGTGGGGAGGAGGAGGATTGATTTCAGTTCCAAGCAGGAATGTACCAGAGGTTAACTGTGCATACCAGTCAGTGCAGAGTTGGCCCAGGGGTTTTGGGGAGGTAGCTGGAGTTGTTAAGAACAAAGATATCACCCAACATGGCTCTCAGAAAACATGGGTTTTTACTTAAAGAGCTTCCCCGTTCTCAAAATGGGAGAGGTGGTAGGGCAAGCAGCACTTGGGAGATGCTCATACACACTATGGCTGCAAGGCTCCATTTATTCTCAGCCAACATGTATATGTAATGGGCCCATTCCTAATTTGCTTAATACACTGAAATTCTGTTGCCAGAAATAGGCAATTTCTGGAAATACATTCAAAGTCTAATAAAAATACTTATAGCAAATGTATTGAGTCAAGGTATAAAAATCTTCATTTAAGAAACAGTCCAAGTAGTTCATGTGCATTCAGGAACCCAATTAGATTTGTAAATTTCATGCACTAAAATATACAGTGGTTGTATATACAATGATTTTAACTACACCCGTCTAGACAATAGTCTTCTCAGGAGACTGGCACATACTAGTGGTGACACCAACTAAACTGCTACCTGATAACAAGAATACAGACTTGTCAATGCATATCACTACTGGCAACTGCTAACTGTCCATTACTGGCAGAGGTGTTGACAAATGAGCACTTCAATTCAAGGGCAGGGTTTCAGTAATTAGATTACTAAATTCTAGTGCCACATATTGACATGCTACTATTATAGTGCAGTGAATATGGAACAACTTTTACTGCCTTCTCCGACGATGCATTAACTCAGACTCCACATCAGTCACCTTGCAAAGCCTTGAAACCTTGAAGAGGGACACGTGTGGACCCAGTCACAAACTGTAACAGCCTCGCCCTTCTTTCCTCATCAAACGTTTCCACGGCTTGCCAGAACCACTTTACGATATTGCTATCTGCCATGCAGTGCTTTAGACGCGTGTTTGACTTCCAGTCATTCAGGTCTATCTTATCCAGGCCTCCTATTATTAGCTGTTAAATAATTTTAAAAACACTTTAAAGCAACAAGCACTGAAATGACATCTTACATTAATATCTATTACCCCAACATGCTTTACAAACTGTAATATACTGCACATAACCCAAATCATTTTACCCACAATGAAAAACTTTTCTGGTGCACAGTATATAGTAATGCTACTAAACAGCTCAGGACAGGAGGTGAATACTCTCTCCAATTGAAACGGCAAGTGGATTTTAGGTAGGTGAATGCAATTACCTAAACTGGGTTTTGGAGAAGAAACCAAAGCCAGCCCTCTACTTTAATTATCACTAGTTTTGTTTGTTTGTTTTTTTAACATGTAACCTGAAAAGCATAATGTGATTCCTTACACTACACCAGAGCTTCAGACTTAGACAAAAGTGTGTCACCTACTGAATCAGACACCACTTTTCACAGCACTGCATTTTATCTGGAGGTCTTCCATCCCACTAATGACTACAGCCAAACCCTGCTTAATTTGTGAGCTCTTACTAGATCACTGCCAACTGTGCCATGGCATATATCTCTCTATGCAATGTTCTGTTTATCATCTCTAATATAGACTACAAAACAAATTCCTCAGATCTCTTCCATAAGTGAAAATGGAATGCTGAGTAGTGGGAAGAAGTCATGATAGGCCAAGGTCCCAACCAACTGGAATGGTGATAAGGAAGTGGGGACACAAGATCCAATTGCTTAAAATGAATGATATAGTCCAGGGATCTGCAACCTTTGGCACGCGGTCCATCATGGAAAGCCCCTGGCAGGCCGGGACGGTTTGTTTACCTGCAGCGTCGGCAGGTTTGGCCGATCGCAGCT